GAATTTTTGTTGTTGTGAAGGGTAGAGTTTGTAAAAGTTAGAAGTTGAAAGGTTGATTGTAGCTGGGGAATCTAGAGTGGACTAAAGCTGGACAGCTTGGATTGTAAGAGGGCTGAAGTGCTGCTGATTGGAAACTTGAGGTGCAGAGCTGAACTTGGAGATCTATATAATTATAACTAGAAAGGTTACCCCCGCTACGCGGGGGCCAAAAGCTTTCAATGTTGTTTCCGAATTGATAAATATGACAGACATAGAAAGTGCAAGGATGAAAAGTCCGGGCTTTGCCCCGGACAAAAAATGTAAAAGTTTTGACTGCAAGGACCAGAAGTGTGAAAATGGCTAAAGAATTAAAGGGGTAGGAATTAGCAACTTTTTAGAAAAGGGATCAAAGTTGTCAAATCGTTAAAGTTTTGAGGCCAAACTTTAAATATTAAAAGGTTCCAAAAAAGTGTAAAAATATTGATTGCAAGGACCAAAAGTGTCAGAATGGGTAAAGAATAATGACCAAAGTTGCCAAAAAACATCCAAATTTAGTATTCCTAACTTCCAACAATAATACAGGGACCAATTCTGCCAAAAAAATGGGAAGTTGAATGGAATACAAACAAAAGGACATGAATAAATTAATTAAAGAAGTACAGGGACCGGATATGTAAATCAAGGGACCAAACTTGGACAAAGTATCCCAAGTTTACTATTCCTTTCTTCCACAACTTTAATATATACTAGAAAGGTTACCCACGCTACGCGGGGGCCAAAAGCTTTCAATGTTGTTTCCGAATTGATAAATATGACAGACATAGAAAGTGCAAGGATGAAAAGTCCGGGCTTTGCCCCGGACAAAAAATGTAAAAGTTTTGAATGCAAGGACCAGAAGTGTGAAAATGGCTAAAGAATCAAAAGGGTAGGAATTAGCAACTTTTTAGAAAAGGGATCAAAGTTGTCAAACCGTTAAAGTTTTGTGGCCAAACTTTAAATATTAAAAGGTTCCAAAAAAGTGTAAAAATATTGATTGCAAGGACCAAAAGTGTTAAAATTGGTATAGAATAATGACCAAAGTTGCCAAAAGACATCCAAATTTAGTATTCCTAACTTCCAACAATAATACAGGAACCAATTCTACCAAAAAATGGGAAGTTGAATGGAATACAAACAAAAGGACATGAATAAATTAATTAAAGAAGTACAAGAACCGGATATGTAAATCAAGGGACCAAATTTGAACAAAGTATCCAAAGTTTACTATTCCTTTCTTCCACAACTTTAATATATATATAATAATAAATAGAGGACCATTTTTGCCAAAAAGTTAGGAACTTCACTGTTCCTAACTTGAGACTTTTTTAATATATATATATATATATATATATATATATATTAATTAGTATAAATTGTTTTAAGCTATTCTTTTAAATAACAACTGTCAAAGGATTAACATTTTCTTTTCTGAAAATATTAGTTAATTATACATAAAAATATTATAAGAAAATTCAATTGCTTTATCATCTATAGTCGTTTGAGTGTTCATTATCCATAATAATACAAAAAATTTCACAAACAAAGCAAAACAAAACTGTGGGCTCAGGACAAGGGCACAAGTTGCATTGCTTCTTCGCTGAGTTATCCACATCTACTTTCGATGGTAGACCATTTGTATATCTTTCAGCCAGCTAACATTTGGCTTGTTAGATGCATTATCAAACTATATATTTTTTTCCACTGCTTTTCAAACAATTGTTTATGACTACTTTAATAAGAATTCCCACTTGATGTTATAAAAATATATGCTATAAAGATGATTTCTTGTTATTTTTATCGTGCAACTCACAATTTTAAAAGGAATTTGTTTTCTTTAAAGTCAAAATGTAATGTTTTTTTTATTATTTATTTTGGCAATCATTTTAAACTTTAATTTCACTTTCATCAACCAATCATTCCTATTACATAAGAGATATCAAGACAAGTAGATATTTGTGCATATATCATGCTCCTTGTTACTTAAATATACGGAAGAAGACGAATAGATATTAGAAGACGAAAAGAGACTTATTTCAAAGTTTATTAGTATTACTTTGTGTAAAAGGTCAGAAACAAATGGTTAGTTTGATAAATGGAATACATCATTTTGGTCAATTTTGTGATTAAATATTTAGTTTAGTGTAGATATGCAAAGATTATATCCAGTTAATTTTATAATACGATAGACGTGGACTTCTTTCTAAAGATTCTTAATGGTGCAATTTTCTAAAAGAAAATTCTTAGTCTCAAACAATATGTCCTTGCTGTTACTTGCTACAAGTAGGAGTGTTTGTTTGGATGGATCGGTTTGATCCGATCCAATCAGGTGAATTCAACTTAATTTTGGTTTTCATAACGTGAATCCGAATAGTTCAAATAAAATTCAAATCCGATCCGAACCAATCAAGTTACAATTCGGTTGGATCGGTTTTTACAATTCGGTTTCAAAGAAGCAAGACATTTAATATATATATATATATATATATATATATATATATATATATATATATATATATATATATATATATATATATATATATATATATATATGAGGGTTCAATTGAGAAAAAAAAGGTTGAGATGGGGGAACCATTCTCAACCAATCATTTAATGAGCTTAAAAAACGCGTGGTGGCAAACTTGTAAATAATCAAAACACATTAATAAACGGTGGCAAATTTGTAAATAACCCAAAAACATTAAACGGTTAGGGCACTTCAGTAATATCACCATACGTCAAATCTCAACAGAAGCACATCATTTCCCTCTTCGATACCCCATAACATGAACACCATTTTCAGAAACATCGATAAGAAGAAAACCATTTGAAGAAGCATCGATAAGAAGAAAACTATTTGCAGAAGAAAAATGTCTTCGGATGAAAACATGAACGAGACCATTTCATCGCTCTTGACAATGAAATGTATCGGCGTTTTTTCTCCAATTTTTAACGATTTCTAATCATTTCTAAAAATTATCACTTCATTACTTGAAATTTTTGGTAATATTCGTTCATTATTACTTGATTTAGAACTAAAAATATTGTTTTCACACTGTTCATTCTTCAAAAATAGACTGTTTACTTCAATTTTTTGTGATAATCATTCATTCTCGTAACCCTCCTTCGTTATTACTTGATTTACTTGAAATTTTTGTAAGAATCATCCATTATTAGTTGATATATAAACGATTTTACATCATCTCTTCATTTTTCATACTTATTCAAAACTATTCTGTCAAAATATAAACGTTACTTCACATTTCGCTTATTTTTCCCTAATATTAACTACTTACACTTACAGAAACAACACCAACAGTGAAGCATACATATAAACGAAAAACAAGAACAAATCAAAAAGGTAGATCTGATTAACTTATATGAGATTTCACTTAAAAACACAACAGAAAATGAACATATTGAAGATAATTTTGTTTTGATATGTTTTGTTTACTTCTGAACACAAGCAAAACTAATATTCAAATGTGAATACAACAAAAATGACTTATATATGTTCTATTCACATATGAATATAACAAAACATATTGATATGTGAATATATATGTTTTATTCAAATATTCATTTCTGAACATGTATGTTATATTCACATATGAATAGAACATAACTTGCTGTCATACATACATTATTCAAATGTGAATACAACAAAAATGACTTCTATATGTTCTATTCACATATGAATATAACAAAACATATTCATATGTGAATAAAAAAATGTGAATATATATATATGTTTTATTCAAATATTCATTTGTAAATATGTATGTTATATTCACATATGAATAGAACACAACTTCCTGTCATACATACATTATTCAAATGTGAATACAACAAAAATGACTTATATATGGTCTATTTCACATATGAATATAACAAACATATTCATATGTGAATAAAAAAATGTGAATATATATGTTTTATTCAAATATTCATTTGTGAATATGTTTTGTTCTATTCACATATGAATATAACAAAACATATTGATATGTGAATAAAAAAATGTGAATATATATATGTTTTATTCAAATATTCATTTCTGAACATGTATGCTATATTCACATATGAATAGAACATAACTTGCTGTCATACATACATTATTCAAATGTGAATACAACAAAAATGACTTATATATGTTCTATTCACATATGAATATAACAAAACATATTCATATGTGAATAAAAAAATGTGAATATATATATGTTTTATTCAAATATTCATTTGTGAATATGTATGTTATATTCACATATGAATAGAACACAACTTCCTGTCATACATACATTATTCAAATGCGAATACAACAAAAATGACTTATATATGCTCTATTCACATATTAATATAACAAAACATATTCATATGTGAATAAAAAAATGTGAATATATATGTTTTATTCAAATATTCATTTGTGAATATGTTTTGTTATATTCACATATGAATATAACAAAACATATTGATATGTGAATAAAAAAATGTGAATATATATGTTTTATTCAAATATTCATTTGTGAATATGTTTTCTTATATTCACATATGAATATAACATAACTTGCTGTCATACATACATTATTCAAATGTGAATACAACAAAAATGACTTATATATGTTCTATTCACATATGAATATAACAAAAAATATTCATATGTCAATAAAAAAAAATTGAATATATATGTTTTATTCAAATATTCATTTTTGAACATGTATGTTATATTCACATATGAATAGAACATAACTAGTTGTCATACATACATTATTCAAATGTGAATACAACAAAAATGACTTATATATGTTCTATTTATATATGAATATAACAAAACATATTCATATGTAAATAAAAAAATATGAATATATATGTTTTATTCTAATATTCATTTGTGAATATCAAACTCATTTATCTTCTACTTACTATTGAATGAAGGTAAGAATACTAATATTTCCGATAAAGATTCACCAACAATGAGAGAAACAAGATCAATGCACAAAAATCAAAAAGGTATAAAATACATATCATATCTTTTAAATGAATATTCTATATTCGTTTATGAATATAATATATTTTCTTTGTAAAATGTATTTCAAAATTATTAATCTTCTACTCACTAATTCATGAAGGTAAGAAGATTTGTACTCCTGATAAAGACCCCACAACAATGATAGAAACAGATTTGAAGAGGAAAAATGTGAAAGGTACAAAATTCCTATCATATCTAATATATTCATATATGAATAAAATTGTATATCTTAATTATATTTTTGTAATAAATAAATATTAATAAATCAACGAGCATATATCATATTCATATATCAATAACTTATTCAAATATTATATGTTTTCATTTCCCAGATAAAAAAGAAACAAAAACACCAAAGAAAATAAAGCGTCAAAGCAGAAAAAGTCCATCAAAAAGGAAAACTCCTGAAAAACGAGAACTACATGATTCAGACTCTGATTTTGAAAGTATTCATCCATCAAAAAAGGCAAAAAAAGGAGTCACCAATCAAGAAAGACAAAAAAAAAAAAAACCAGTGGTAAAGGAATTTTACGCAATGAAAAATAGATGTTCACCAGAGTCATTACTATCTATAATCCTTGGGTTGAGCAAAGAACAAAAAGAATGTGTAAGATCTATGGGTTTTGGAGCTTTATTAAAAATGAAAATCACAGATATACCACTGAAGCTGGGATTTTATGTTCTTCAAAAATTTGATTATGAGAGAATGGTGATAGATATTGAAGGAAAGGAACTGAAAGTAACAGAAGAGTCTGTTCATGACATGTTGGGCATACCAATTGGTGGAACCATACTTACACAACTGGATCAGTGGCCTAAGGATGATACAAGTTATGGTGAATGGAAGCAACAATTTAAAAAAGATTCAATCATCCGACTGAGTGCAATCAAAAATGTTATTGTTTCTACCACACAAGCTGCTTTCAATTTCCAATTGAACTTCTTAGTTCTTTTTGTCAACACGTTTTGCGAGTCAACATCAATGGGAAGATGCAACCTGTTTCCTTTGAGTTATATTTCAAGAAAAACATATATCAGCAACATAGAATGGTGCAGCTATGTTTTGGACTGTCTTGTCAGAACAAAGAACTCATACATACCATACTCAGATACTAGCTTCTTTGTTGGACCTTCAGCTTTCTTGGTGGTAAGTTATTATAATGTTTATACTCAATTTTTAATAATATTTATTATTCATAAACTAATAGCACATATTCATATATGAATAATAAAAATATACTTGTTCACACGTTATGCTTTACATTACTTATTCATATATGAATAAGTAAAAACTAATATTTTACTTGTTCATATATGAATATCAATTAGTTATCATTTATGTGCAGTTGTTCTATGCTGATAACATCCGCTCAGAAGCTTTAACGGTAACACGTAAACGTCCAACAATTTGTTATTGGAGTTCAGAGAAGATTAGATATCGAGAGACATTTGAACAAGAAAAATGTAGATTTGGACTTGGAGAATTAAATGAAGAATTTGTTAATGAACAAGATGAAGGAGAGACAGATCTCGAAGACAGTGATTCTGATAAAGATGAAGATCATTCTGTTGAGGTAATTAGTTTGAACATGTTAATAATATATGATTATATTAAATTCTAATCATACTTCTTTTTATTACATAGGCATATGAATCAAAAATATCTAAAATGCTTAATAGTTTTGAGAGGATGAAGGAAAAGCTGAATTCAAAGCTCAATGATGCGATAACAAAGTTCCCTGAAAAGGAAAGTTTTAGGATTTTCAAAGAAAAGATGACAAATACAATTGTTGAAGAAAAAACTGAAAGCACAACACTTTTTGAATTTCCAAGTAATGAAACTGGAGTTGAAGGTATCAATTTGACACCAATAATGGGTCAAAAAACAAATGATCAAAAAGAAAATGAAGATGATGAAGGAAATCGAGAAGAAGAAAATGATAATGATGGAAGTCAACCGGAAGTGGATTACTTGCTTGATTCAAATGAAGCAGAGAATGAAGGAATAAAGAATGATGGAGATAAGAATAAAAAAGAAGGTGAAACTGAAGTAAAAGAGAAAGATGGAAAGAACAATGAAAATGACAATGATGAAGAGAAAAAAGATCATGATGCTGAAGAAACAAATAATCATGAAGAGACTATTCAACAAACTGAAAATGAAAATTTGTTGGATAAAGTTGTTGACAACATTGTGGATAATGTCCTTGGAGTTGGAATTTCAAGTTTAAATAGTCAAGAAGATGAAATCTGGAATGACCCTGAAATGAAAACTATTTTGGATAATATTGATATAGGTAAATTTTCTCTTACTTTTATTTTAAAAAAAAAATATAAAAATATTAATAAAAAATAACAATTTTGTTTATTAAATTTTGACCAGGGTCACCAATGAGTAGAAGTAAAAGTAATACTCTTGCAGAAAAGGAAAAATCAAAAGGTGTACATGAAGAAGGAAAAGAAGTTGAAAAAACGAACGGAGATGATACATGTAAATGAATGATTTAAAATATATTACAATATTTATATTGATTTTTTTAATAAGATTGTTTATTCATAAGTGAATAATACACTATATAAATGAGTAAAAAATAAAAAAATATTCATATATGATGTATATGTTTCAGGCAAGGAAAACTCTGAACATACAAATAAACAAGGAGCAGAAGCTAAGAACACGAAAAAGTCAGAAAATGAAAACAATGAACGACAAAAAGTTGAGAAAACAAAAGGGAATGAAGGAGGTAACAATTTGGAAAAACATTTCAAAATATAAAAATAATATTATAATTAACTTACAACTATTTACATGATAATTCTTCTGGCATGCAGATACTCATCCATGTTTTAGTCTAGGTCTCAGTCAAGATTCAGATCAAACTTTAAGTAAAAAATCTAATGAATCTTCACCAAAAAAAAACCACTTACAAAGAAACAAATCAAACACCACAATCAGAAAGTTGTTATCAGATTAGCAAACAAAAACGTTCTTAATCCAAATGTAACACCCAAAAATTCAAACAAATTTAAACTTTTAAACACATTACAAACCATTAAAAATCATTACAACTTTTTTTTCAAAATGTATAATGTTAGAGTTTTCCCAGAAACATAGACAAAACATGAGGAGCTGTACGATCACGCCTTCGCCTTGCCGCGATCCCCTGATGTACCTAAAACAATAAACTGAAACTGTAAGCCCGAGAGCTTAGTGAGTTCCCCCAAAATACCGATACACATACAGTCCACATAAATATATCATAACAAACTGAACAACATGTAATAGGTCCCCAGCTTTACAGACTGGATTACCCCCGAGCCCACAGTACGAGTCTCCCTTTAGCCCGTAACTGGAATGCTCCCGAGTCCACAGTACGTGTCTCCCTTTAGCCCGTAATCATAACCAACTGAACAACATGTAATGGGTCCCCAGCTTTACAAACTGGATTACCCCCGAGCCCACAGTACGAGCCTCCCTTTAGCCCGTAACTGGAATGCTCTCGAGCCCACAGTACGAGTCTCCCTTTAGCCCGTAACTGGAATGCTCCTAAGGTCTGTTGGCTACCGCACGGAGCAGTACAACCTCAACCCATCCCACATAACATATAACATACAACATAACCACTAAGCATGCAATAACCATATAACATCACAGGTAGTCCTACAGGTCTACCTAACTGGCATAACCACTAGCATGCAACACTAACTCATACTCAACATCTAACATTGCTAGGATAACATATCCAATGGGCCGGCCTTGGTGCCTTAGACCCCTTAGTATAGTGAGGATAACTCACCTCGCAACTGTCGTCTGAAACTAGAAAGCTCAACTCTCGGATCACCAAAACGAACTTCCACCACCTATAGATACCATAAAACCCTTTTTCATAAATCTCCAAATTACCATAATACCCTCAGAAGTCAACTGGTCAGCTCTTAGTCAAAGTCAAAGTCCTCAGTGAAATTCAACAGTCCATGTTGACTCGACTCGTCGAGTATAGTTCACCGACTCGTCGAGTCCTTCCTGAACTCGAGAAGTCGTGAAATCCTTGATTGGCTCGTCGAGTTCCCCTTTAACTCGCCGAGTTCATACGTGTCCAAGAATTGGGAGAAACCCTAGCCGACTCGCCGAGTCTTCGAACAACTCGTCGAGTTCAAGGCAATCTTCAACGGACTCGCCGAGTTTGTTCATCAACTCGACGAGTTCATGACCATCTTCATATGACTCGCCGAGTTGAATATGCAACTCGCCGAGTCCTTGCAGACCTTCATCCATGCAGACACTTTTTAAGCCATGCCAAGGTTCCAGATTACAGATCCAAGCTTCTAAGGCATGATTATCACGTAAAGTTGCAAACTTTACACGCATGCAAGGCCCTAAAGGCTCTAAATGACCAATCTAAGCTTCTAATGGGGCTTTACATCTTAGGGGAGTCTCATCCTTGCAAGAGTTGGAAACTTTATGGACTTAGGACTCAAAAGAGGTTCAAATCTAAAGTTTCAACTTCAGATCTAGCTCCCATAACAAAATCCCTTCATGAATAACTAAAGAAAGCCCTAGTTTCCACATATGAATGATTCTAGACGAAAAAGAGGTTAAGGTAACAGTTGGTTACCTCCAAAACGTGCCCAAACTGAAGTAGAAGCTGGCTCCACACAGAAATTTTGATGCTATCCTCTTGATTTACAAATTTCCTTCACAAAAGTTACTTCCCAAAGCTCCAAAACACTCTCCAAGCTCTCACTCATGGAAATTAGGGTCTCTGGGTCTCAAGGGTGATCAAGGACAGTGGGAGGCGCTAATGGTTTAATATATAAGGTGCAAAAACCCTGAAAATTAGGGTTTCCACTGCCAGCTCCTACTCGTCGAGTCCCCCATACCGACTCGGCGAGTCACTTATTAATTGACGTGTCCTGACCCGCTTCTACTCGACGAGTCATAGCACCTACTCGTCGAGTAGACCTTAATCATGAAGTCTAAAATGGAAAATTAATAATACCTGACGGTTGGGATGTTACAATTCTCCCCCACTTGACTTAGACTTCGTCCTCGAAGTCTGCTGTAGCGAATAACTCCGGGTAATGCTCCCGCATCTCAGCCTCCGACTCCCATGTCTACTCGGATCCCCTCCGATGCTCCTATTGTATCTTTACCAACGGAACCTCCTTGTTGCACATGACTTTCACTTTCCTTTCCAAAACGGCAATCGGCCTCTCAATACAATTCAGGCGCTCATCAACCTGAATGTCATCCAGTGGCACCACTGCCTCCGTGTCCACAATGCACTTTCATAACTACGAGACGTGGAAAGTGCTGTGGATCCGACTAAGCTCCTCCGGCAGCTCTAGCCTATAAGCCACCTTGCTAACCCTGGCAATGATCCTGAACGACCCAATGTATCGGGGACCCAATTTTCCCCTCTTCCTAAAACGGATCACACCCTTCCAGGGCGAGACCTCAGGAGTACCATGTCACAGACCTGAAACTCTAATTCGGATCGGCGTCGGTCGGCGTAACTCTTCTGCCGACTCTGAGCGGTCTGCAGCCGCTGCCTAATCTGCTGAATCTTCTCGGTGGTCTGCAAGACCACCTCTGTCCAACCCATCACCCTGTGACCAACCTCACCCCAACATACCGGGATGCGACATCTCCGCCCGTACAACAGCTCGAATGGCGGGGCACCGATGCTGGAATGATAGCTGTTGTTGTACGCGAACTCTGCAAGTGGTAGGTGGGAATCCCAGCTCCCACCAAAATCAATGACACACGCCCTCAACATATCCTCGAGGGTCTGAATGGTCTGCTCGCTCTGACCATCAGTCTGCGGATGGAATGTTGTGCTGAAGTGCAACCGCGTGCTCAGCTCCTCGTGAAACTTCTGCCAGAAACGTGATGTAAACCTGACATCCCGATCGGAAACAATGGAGACGGGAACCCCATGGCGAGACACGATCTCGCGAACGTACATGTCGGCCAACTTCTCAGCCGACGAACTCTCCCGAATTGCCAAGAAATGGGCGCTCTTGGTCAATCGATCCACGATGACCCATATATCATCAAATCCCTTTGCCGTCCTCGGCAGCTTGGTAATGAAATCCATCGTGATCTGTTCCCATTTCCACATGGGAATCTCTAGAGGCTGCAGCTTGCCATGCGGCCTCTGGTGCTCGGCCTTGACCATCCTACAGGTCAAGCACCTCTCGACATACCAAGCGATTTCTCGCTTCATGCACGACCACCAATAGCTCAAACTCAAATCCCGGTACATCTTGGTGGCCCCCGGGTGAATAGAGAAATGAGACTTATGAGCCTCCTCCATAACCGTCTGCCTAACCCCACTAGACATCGGTACCCAAACCCGACCGCATCGGGTCAATAATCCCCGACTGTCCTGCTCAAACCGGGTATTCTCACCCTTGATCCTCTCCAGCTTCCAGTTTTCTGGTTGCATGCCCTCAACCTGGGCATCTCTGATCAGACTCACAAGCTGAGAGTCTACTGCTATCCTCATACATACCGCTGGGGTGGAAGACCCAGCTGACTTGCGGCTCAAAGCATCCGCAATCACATTCGCTTTACCAGGATGGTAAAGGATCTCGCAGTCATAGTCCTTGACTACGTCTAGCCACCTGCGCTGCCCTCATGTTCAGGTTCGGCTGATCCATGATGTGTCTCAAACTCTTGTGATCTGTGTAAATGGTACAGCGGACCCCATAAAGGTAATGTCTCCATATCTTGAGTGCAAACACCACCGCCCCCAGCTCCAAGTCATGCGTAGGGTATCTCGTCTCATGTGGCTTCAATTGCCGTGACGCATAAGATATCACTCTTCCTCTCTGCATGAGGACCGCCCCTAACCCTGTGATGGATGCATCACAGAACACCACAAAATCGTCAACTCCCTCCGGGAGTGTCAAGACTGGGGCCTCGCACAACCACTGGCGGAGGGTCTCAAACGCCCTCTGCTGCTCAGGGCCCCACCGGAAATCCACTCCCTTCCTCGTCAGACGAGTGAGGGGTACCGCAATCTTGGAGAAGTCCTGTATAAATCTCCGGTAGTACCCTGCCAATCCCAAAAAGCTCCAAATGTCTGAGGGAGATTTCGGAACCTCCCACTGTATAACCGCCTCGATTTTGGCCGGATCGACCAAAATCCCCTCTTGGTTAACGAGATGTCCGAGGAACTGGACCTCTCGTAGCCAAAACTCACACTTCGAGAACTTGGCATACAACCGTTCTCGTCTCAGAACTCCCAACAACTCCCGCAGATGCTCCTCATGCTGCTCTCGGGTCTTGGAATACACCAAGATATCGTCTATAAACACTATAACTGAGCGATCGAGCATCGGTCTGCAGACCCGATTCATCAGGTCCATGAATACTACTGGCGCATTGGTGAGCCCAAACTGCATCACCACGAACTCGTAATGTCCATAACGAGTTTGGAACGCGGTCTTCTCCACGTCCTCCTCTCTGACCCTGACCTGATGGTACCCAG